AACATGAATTAGATCCTTTCCAAAACAAAATGCTATAGATGATTATTTTGGATGCTTATTTTGTTAGTCAGTGCTCATCTTGTCAGTTTCTTTGTCAGTGAACTTTGTGATCTGGAATCTTCCCTTCCATAAGTAGAATCACGGAATTTTAGAACTAGTACACTGATTTTTCTGTGTCATAAGGTCTCCCCAAATCAAATAAATCTCTTTTAAAGGGTACAGGGCAGATGTGAGGATTTTTTAAAAATACTTTCTCCCACACTGGATAATGCCATTGAATGGTCCATCCTTCCCATGACAACTATGATAGGGGGCACTAAGGGATGTTGTATATGAGGGTTTTCTCTCTTGCAGAATGTTCATGAGATCCCCCAGAATATTACTTACCTTAATATTCTGTAATAAGTCTTTATATTTACCTAAATCCTTAATTCTACCAATATTTACTCTCTGTACCAGCTCCTGGGCGTAGTGATTTCTCTAAACTTATTTCCTTCCATGTAAAGTAGTTTTCTTCTGAAATGAATATTTTCAAGTATTAAGGGGTACCTTGAGAGCTAGTCATTCCACTGGCAACTTCAGCTCTTTTATTAGTATTTTTAAAATACATTTGTTCTTTGGCACAGACTTAGATACTTCTTAATGCAGGTGGGAGAGCAGAAATACCTTTAGTTTTATAGTTATTGCTAACAAGGAACATGGAATCCCTCCTTTGTTCCTAAGGTCTCCTTTCAGAATATAGCAACATAACTTTTTCTTTTTTGTGAGGAAGATCAGCCCTGTGCTAACATCCATGCCAATCGTCCTCTTTTTTTGTTTTTTTGCTGAGGGAGACCAGCCCTGAGCTAATATCTATTGCCAATCCTCCTCCTTTTTTTTTCCCCTTTTTCTCCCCACAGCCCCAGTAGATAGTTGTATGTTGTAGTTGCACATCCTTCTAGTTGCTGTATGTGGGACCCCACCTCAGCATGGCTGGACAAGCGGTGCATCGGTGCGCACCCGGGATCCGAACCTGGGCTGCCAGTAGCGGAGCGTGGACACTTAACTGCTAAGCCACGGGGCTGGCCCAGCAACATAACTTTTTAAAAAATATTTAAAAATTGTAAAGAAATTCATGTTGAGATGTGTGTGTGTATCTACCTGATAAATATGTATCAATCAGAAGTATGTGAGGTAAAAAAGTGAACTCCCACCGCCCCCCCGTCTCTCCCAAACGCACTCTCCAGTTAACAGTGTCAATATTTTAACTTTTACTTGTAGGTGGGTGAAGTCACAACAAAAGAAGTTAAGCTGCCAGCAGAAATGGAAGGAAAACAGATGGCAGTGACCCGGACCAGGACTAAGCCAGTACCCTTATACTGCGATATCATCGGGGATGCTTTCTGGAAGGAACATCCAGAGGTCCTAGATGAAGACAGCTGACCCTTTGCTTTTCAGTCGTGGCATGCTTAACTCTGCAAGGCCCCAAAGTCTCCTGGCCTTAGGTGGCTCGAGCATCCCTGCCACCCAGAACACTGTGCCAGGAGTGACATGACTCTGGTTGGGAGGGGAACAGGAAAGGAAAGAATGGATGGGGTAATGTACCTTGTTCTGCTTTTTAAGTAGAACACCTCTTTTGCAGTGTTGGAACATGGTTCCTTTGGTAGAAGTGCATCTTTTTTTAAATCGTGGTACTATTTTTATAAAGCAAGAACTGTTTTATGCCTTCTAGAATGAATCATTTTTAGATTGTGGCATCAGTCTTTTAAAAACCTGTCAAGCTGTTTTCACCTATGATAGGAGATGAACCCAAACTTTATTCTCACCCACCTGTTCTTAACTAGAGAATCCAGTGACCTTGAAAATCTCACCTTTCCCACACATCTACTTGCATTCGTCTTTGGCAGACTTGGGATCAGTATGGGTTGATGGCTTCACGATGCTTCTGAACTTGGGAATTCCTAGGAAAACTCAGGGCTTTGTGCCAGTCTCCAAGTTGGCAACTTTGGCTGAACAACTGAGTAGTAGTTTGGATGTCCTTGTGGACACATTCCATAGAGTGATTTTGTGGAGTTGTCAGCATGATCATCATCATCATCTTGCCAGGAGCATCGTTTCCAAGGCCACTTGAGCTCTTTCTAAGAAGAAAGAGAATTATGTATATATATGAGAGAAAGCAAACATGAGTGAGAATGAATGAACAAGGAGGGAGAAACATTTACCCCGTGCCCTCTAAATACTTCAGTTTTAAAAGTCATCTTCCTGGGCCGGCCCCGTGGCTTGGTGGTTAAGTGAGCGCGCTCCACTGCTGGCGGCCCGGGTTTGGATCCCGGGCGTGCACCGACGCGCTGCTTCTCCGGCCATGCTGAGGCCGCGTCCCACATGCAGCAACTAGAAGGATGTGCAGCTATGACACACAACTATCTACTGGGGCTTTGGGGGGAAAAAATAAAATCTAAAAAAAATAAAAATAAAAAAAAAAAAATAGAAGTCATCTTCCTGTTGGACTTCCTGAAAAAGATTCTCAGGTAGCCTCTGTATAATCAGAACAGTGACATTTGAATTGGAGAGCAGAGGGGTCAACACTCCCCTTGGGGGTCACAGGTGGCAGGTGGCAAAGGAGTCCTGATAGTTCCACCTGCCCATGGGCCAGCGGGGGCGGGTGAGGAGCAGCAGAGAGCAGCAGCAGGAATTGCGTGTGGCCAAGCTGTTGGCCTCTTAAGGGGGAGGTCATGGGGATAGGTGGTGAGAGAACTCACACTGCCTCTTGTCCCCATTTCATATTTTAGAGGAAAAAGATGATTTGGCTCTATTAAGAATTAATTAAGAGACAGCCCACATCCCACTGCCTGGTCTTGCATTGCAGGATTTACAGCCAGGAGGATGTATTTTTGAAAGTGCGATGGCTGGGCTCATCCCTCACTAATAAACACCCCATCTGTCGATGCCATTTTTCTCCTTCCTGTTCTCCTCACTCCCTGGGAATAGGAGATATGGCTCATGTTTGGTAATTGATAAAATTTCTTTGAAAAAAAATAAAGGTTGCAACTCCCTTGGCCTAATTTTTCATTTTTTTCATACAAATGCAGTATACATAAGCCAGAATACACATACCTTCATCACAGGGGTGGTTCAGACTTCTGGATACAAAAATTTACTTGGCATGCTTGTTTTAAATGCTGAGTCCAGGTCCCCCTCCCATGAAGATTTGGGGTTCAGATTTTTAACCCCAAAGGCTTCTGATGCTTATCTTAGGTTGTCCATATACTGCACTTTGGGCAGCAAGGACGTTGTGGTAAGGCCAAGTGAGGCAATAAGATAATGTAGCTCTTGACTGGTGAATGTAACAGTGGTAAGTTTATAGCATTTTATATCAAAATTAATAGAGATACATAGGCATTAAAGTACAGATTTCCGAGACAAAACCATTTAAAGAAATGTGCTTTCTGTTGATGCTACGTGATACTACAAAGGCTGTCAATCAATTTTGTTGTAAGATCTGGGGACAAGGACTTATTTGTTGAATTTCCAGCAGTTTGCAGCTTTGAGTTTTCTTGTTGGCCGGGGGGTTTTGAGCAAAGGAATATCCTGGGCTTAATACTCATGCTGTAACTAAACCTGTAGTGCAATTAGAAGCTCATTGCTTGATGGTTTTCATGTTATCTTTGTTGCAGTATGTTTGTTGCAGTATGTATTCATTCCAATGTATGTTGCACAGTTGTCTATTTTCATCTTGCTCTCTAAGGTAAAGAATAGTATTCTCTCGGGCTTCCTTTCCAAATCTAAGGAAACTTTATACACAAAAGCAGCTAGTATAGAATTAATACTAGTTAATAGTTTGGGGGAGTGGTGGCAGTTAAGAAGGTGATTTGTGTGTCCTGTAGGTGACTGGAAACACCTTCGCTTCGTTAGGTGCAGGGGCAATACCTGAGCCTTCGGTGTAGATATTTTAATATCAAAAAACAAATGTTTTGGGGCCAGCCTGGTGGCGCCAGTGGTTAAGTGTGCGCCCTCCGCTTCAGCGCCCGGTGTTCGCAGGTTCAGATCCCGGGCACGCACCGATGCACTGCTTGTCAAGCCATGCTGTGGTGGCGTCCCATATAAAGCGGAGGAAGATGGGCACGGATGTTAGCCCAGGGCCAGGCTTCCTTGGCAAAAAGATAAAAAAAAGATGATTGGCATCAGATGTTAGCTTAGGGCTGATCTTCCTCACAAAAAAAAAACAAATGGTTTTGCTGAACAGAGGCTATCAAGTACAACCAGGTCCGGTAAATCCTCCATTATCCTTTCTTCCAAGAGCTGGATCTTCATTTCCTCCAATTGCTTAGCAATGCTTAGGAAATCAGTGATATAATGAATTTTCTTTAATATTAAGGTCTGTGGTGTTAGTGCAAATTAGTTTTTGCATAGGGCGTAGGAAATGGAGGACTGGGATCCACCCATTCTTCGTAGTTTCACTGTCCTCTTAACCAAAAATTACCTTTCATTCATTTATTATGCACTCTATATGCACTCTCTCTTCATTCTTAGGACATATGAGGTAAGTACTATTTCTATCATATTTCAGATGAGAATGTAAAGACTCAGAGAAGCTAAGTACTTTGGGTCTAGGCAGGTTAACTCCCAGTGGAACTCACCATGAAAGCAAATTGGGACATCAGTTGCCCCCTTCCCACCAGCTCAAGCTAGGGGCACACTGCGGTTCCAGAGAGCAGGGAAAGGCCTGGGCAGCTTGTTAAAACGCAGGTCTCGGGCTCCACCCCCGGGGAATCTGGATCATTAACAACCAACCAAAATGACAATGATATAGATGGAGAAATACTGCATTAAAGCAGATGAACCTGTCACCAGGGCGCCGAGGCGTTGGGGGCCTGGCGGGTCGCAGCCGCACGCCACGCCCCTGGTGGGGCAGAGCGCGGACAGATGCTGCCCCCCGGCGGCCGCTCCCGCGCAGTGCGACCCCGCGCCGCGGCTGCGCAGTGCCGCCCTCTGGCGGCCCCGCTCCTTCTTCCCATCGGCCTCGGCTTGCGGGCCTTTCAAACATGGAGGAGCGGGAGCGGGGGGCGAGGTCGGCTCGCGCCGGGAGCCCCGAGCGCCCGCCCAGCCCGCGGCTGGATGTCAGCTCTGACAGCTTCGACCCGCTGCTGGCCCTGTACGCGCCCCGCCTGCCTCCCATCCCCTACCCCAACGCGCCCTGCTTCAACAACCTGGCCGAGTACGAGAGCTTCCTCAGGACCGGGTGCCGGGGCGGCGGGC